GAGAGAGAGAGAGAGAGAGAGAGAGAGAGAGAGAGAGAGAGAGATGGGCGACATTGGGATTTGACGAAATTGGGGTTCAGACTCAGCATCGGGATTCAGACCTTTGGCGAGGGATTATTTGGGACTGTATCGAAGACTTGGTGTTGACGACACTTCCAACTTCCCCCTCCCCTTCGTCTAATCCCCCTCTCCTTCGTCTGTGTATGATCAGGGGACTGACGCATTCTTCCTGTGTGCGTGTCAGCCCCCTTCACACCATGGAATGATGATGATGCATGTTTGGTCTGGATGGCAGCTTGATTGATCGGATCATTGGTATTCAGGTCTTCCGATGTGCTATCTTGTATCTGGCGAGAAAGATCGGTTCTTGGTCTGGTCTGCACCGTTATGGTATGCAACATCATGTCTACCGCTACATCCAATTTCTTATTTATATTTTTTTCCAAGGGTGAGCTATCATCAATGAACTGACCAGCCCCAGGTAATTCAGAATCATTCTGTTGTCGTCATCTGATCACTTCCGGATTCAAATGCGGGTCTGTATTTCGACAAATTGTGGGTGTACCAACTGAGGTAGGCCCATCCGTCAGTCGCCCATACAAATTTACTCGACACCTGTGCAAAAACCTTCTTTGGACCACTTCAGACTCACTCCACAAACCGGCCCCCGCCATCCATCGACTTGCAGTTTAGGCCCATCGGTTCTCCATGCCATTTGTAACTGTTCCAAGCCAAACGTGTGTGTGTGTTCCCAGGCCCTTTTGCTGCTGATCGGATGGTCCCAGAATCATGAGCGCTCTCTCCGGGTCGGATGGCTAGACACCTGACTGAGTGGTTAGAACACAGAGAAGCTCATCTCAACCAACACGGCAGGAAATGAAGAGCTAAAAATCCCCAGCGTGAACAGACGACCTCCTCCTGCAATTGCGGAGGTGGACCCCCGATTCACCTCATCTGGAGGTCGACCCTAATCCAGCAAGTAAATCATGGACACAAAATCCGGGGCACAAAGGAATCCCTAACAAAAGCAAAGACGTGTGTCATTTCACAAACAAGCCAAGCTGACAAAATTTTGACATCTTCCATTGAAACTGTAGTCAATGGGTCTTCCATTGCGGGCCGGCCTCATGGAACTTCCAATTCGCACAGAGGCCCTACCTACCTACCATCTTCCCCCGAATAAAAAGTACAGTTCTTAGTTGTATTTGGGGCAACAGTCAGTCTAGATGCAGTGATAATGACCATACTTTCTTTTCAGGGGAAGACAGATGACAGATTCCGAAACACTGGGCCAAAATTTTCAAAACACGTCAGTTTATCCGGAAGGCAGAGTGGAGATCGGCATCTTCCTTTCAGTCCCCTTCATGATGTATTTTTAATCGCTTCAATGAGAATTTCATGGAAGCCCTCGTGCAAACCCCACAAACATGATTCAGAAGGAGAGACGATACCATAGCCCATTCTATATTTCCAGAGAGTAATAACCTTAATCACCATACCTTCTTGGCAGACAGGCAGCCTTGCCACAAAAAGCGAAACCTTTATACATTTGACAAACAAATTGATATATACATTCGATAACCTTCAGGAATACAATGCAGCCATTCTCACCCACTGTGCTGCAGAGCTCACCTCCCCAAGAAAGAACCTCGATATGCAACCTGACCTATCATCCTCGTACATGCCGACCACTACCGGCCAGAGGACCTCTTATATATCCACCACTGCCAGCCAGAGAGGTATCAGTATCCTCGTGCCAACAAGAGGCCTCATAGCCCCGTGGGCGGCACCCTCAACCACCACGTGATACTCGGCCATTCCCACTCAGAACACTGCCATCAACCATCCTAGCCACGGCACAGCACTGTACGAAGAGAAGTAAAACAGAGTCCAAACTTTCAAGAAACAAATTCCATCTGTGCACGGGTGGAAAAGGATAACAATAACTCTATTATAAGTGACAATGCAGGACAGTCCCAAACCTACTTCAAAATACTATTCCATTGTCGTCTTCCGGGAATCCTGCGTAGTAACTTCTTCGAATTCAATGTAAATGCCTACGGTGCTTCAAAAGGCATCGAACTGCCCTTCAAAAGGCGTTAAAACTGCCTACGATTCTTCAGACGGCGTTAAAGCACCAGTACAAGGGCACCTGGGCCGCAGGCCTGACACCTCAAATTCTGGAGGCGCAAAACGAAAACGCAACCGTCGATCAAATATATCAAGGGCGGGCCCAGCGTTTGACATTTCGGTATCAAAGGCGGGCCCAGCATTTGACGTTTCGGCCTCGGCAACAAGTTTCGGACTGCAAGGCTGGGGCCGTGTATGGTAGTGGTTTAAACTGCCTATGGTTCTTCAAAAGGCGTTAAACTGCCTACGATTCTTCACAAGGCATAAAAAAAAATGCACTCACCAATCCCAAGTGACTAAGCGAAATGAGCCGCCAGCTTTAACTCTCTCAGATCTCAGCCTTTTATGTGATGGTCAACCAAAACGTGAACCTGCAGATGGCTCTGCCGTGCCATGTAGAGAAAATGACAGGAGAATTTTTACAACACTGCACACCCCAGCATAGGAAGTTTCCACAACCTTTACAGCCCCACCCCACACACCTCGGCGTCGGGAAGCTTTCCACACCACCTGTGTGTATCCATCCGGACAAGATCAAGAAAACGTTGAAATATTATGTAACAAAAAGTTAAAAAGTAATAAAAACCGCATTGCTCTGTTAGTGCAAGACCACCCAAGGACGGCCCCAAGGATGTATTCAGGACTTACCAGTATTTATTACCCAAAGACAGGTACCACACCAAAGCACCCGTTCACCTCTAGATGACAGACAGACGCCGACCATCCCTTCACGGGTTGAATCGAGTAGGGGCCTCGCCGCATGGTGCAAGAAACGGAAAAAAAAACGACTTCGGTTCGTGAAGTCGTCGCCGCATAGCACCCACACGAACTGTGTCAGAAAAAACTCGTGAATGCTGCCAGCCTCCAAGTTCGCGAGGCCTCACGAGTGTGCCAACTCCTCCCTGCCTGCAGCCCTCACGAACTCGTAGGTCCTCCGCTGGTAGGCTGGAGGAGCTGCGAAATCTCACGAGTGTGCTGCATCGCTCCAACCGAAGTCCATCCAAGAACTCGGACCGTAGCGTCCACAAATTTGGACTGTAGCGAAACGAATCCCCCACTGCTGTCGCCAGGGCGTTGTCGCTAGAGTTTTCGTGTGTGCTGTGGGGCTTCGCTAGAGTTTACGTGTGTGCTGTGGGCCGGTGAGGCAAAAAACGAAGCGAAACAGTGGATCAGGGCTTCGTGAGGCCTCACGACTCTGGTGATCGTTAGTTGTGCCGTGCGGCGAGACCCTAGGCAGTGTACCTCTGATGCTGGATGTTGCCGCTTCACGGCCTGGTTTCCTTGGAACTCGCCAGGCAGTGTGCCTCTGATGCTGGATGTTGCCGCTTCACGGCCTGGTTTCCTTTCCACGGTTTTTGACGTAGCGGCAGAGCCAGTACAATGGCACGCATACTGATTCCTCATGATGCAGACATCATTTACGTACACGACTCTTATCGCTTCGACTTCAATACGGCACGACCCCACAAAACAAACACATGATACGTCAGGTGCACCACCCTAAGAACCCTGCACACTCTGGCTTGAAAATAGCAGCGGATGGCAAGCAGCAGTGGGAGGCAGGTACCTGTCCGTAGCAAGCTGAAATCCCCTCTTCGCCAAACCTTACCAGCGAGAGGAAAGTGGGTGATAAATTGGAATCCGGGCCTTTGAATGAGATCGCATCTAAAGGCCCAGGCGTGCACAAAGGGCAAACGTCCAGATGAGTAGCCAAGCCATGGCATCATGAAAATGAAGGTTGCCAACTCCATTTTGCGCAGATTTTGAACAACTGCTGGCACAGCCAAAACAGCCCGACGCGGTACCTGCTAAGAAGTAGTACTGCAAAGGTGGTGTTTAAAACAGCTCCTAGAACACGTCGTGATACATGGGTTTCCTTGCTATCAGTAGCATGTCAGGAGAGAGACAGATAGCACCTCAGGACAGGCACAGGAAAGGGAAAACGCACTTGACATCTGCTGAGAGTGGTAGGGCCCAGACAACGCTCAGTACTCTTACGTGCAACAAGTGTCACAAGCACACGGAACAAGAATACTGCTTAGAGCCTGCTCAGTTCCGTCTCAGTGTCAGGGAGGGCTCAGTGTTGGGGCCCAGTATCGGCTAAGTGTCTGGCTTAGTGGCATGTGAGGACGGATACACGGCTTGTCTGTCAGTAGTAGCATGTCGGGAGGGATAAAGAAGGCACCTCAGGACAGGCACAGGAAAGTGCAAACGCACTTAACATCTGCTGAAAGCAACAGTCCCCGAACAGCACTCAGGACATTTCACGTGCCACAAGTGTCGCAAGCACACAAAACAAGACAAGACTACTGCTCACTGTCTCTCTTTTGCGTGTCTGCTCAGCTTCGGCTCAGCGTCTGCTCAAAGTCCGTTCAATGTCAGCTCAGTGCTGGGGCTCAGTATCTGCTAACTGTCTGCTCAGTGTCGCCTAACTGTACGGTCAGTGCCAGCTCAGTACCACCTCAGTGCCACCTCAGTGGCGGCTACCAGTGCCAGTACAGTGCCACCACAGTGTCGGCTAAGGGTCGTTCAGTGTCGGTTAAGTGTCAACTATGTAGGCTTTCTATGGGCAGGCACCGAGTACACCTGCTGCTAGCTCATCCTGGGACGGTGCTAACTGATTCGACAAAAACTTGTCCTCATCGTAGAAGCTTGCCCTTACAACTCTACCACCAAAGAACCGCCCATCTAGGTCAATCAGACCCTTCATTGCATGCTCAGTCCTCTCAAAGAGGACGAAAATTCGCACAGCCTCAGTTGGCGGAAAGTTAGGCTCTGTTATTTCGAAAATCAGGACCTTCACGACGGGTCCATACTTTGTGCATTCCCCTGCAACCTCGTCCTCTAGCTCATCGTCTACTTCGCCTGGCCCGACCTGCCACACAAAAACCCATGAGTGACAAAGCACACACAATGATCGAGGTTATGGCTTTAGCCCAGCTTCAAATATTACATCATAAACCCGAAATTGAAATTGAATAAAAATAATAATAATAATAATAATAATGAAATTGTTAAGCCCAGAAACAACCAGCTCTCCGTAATGTACGTATAGGTGACCCTTTAAATGAAATGCAAGGGCATATACTCAGGATAGGATGTTTCGGCCAGGAACCTGGCCTTATTTGCCACCAGGAACATCAAGAATGTTCTGGTGCGAGCATCCCATAAGTTGCTATGGCAATGAACTCTGGGATTCTCACAAGCCGTCACAAATCAGTTGTTCCACAGACGCAACGAACCTCCAGACACCGGACATTACTATAGTCACAATAAATGACATAATATACGATCAAACATAGCATCCACAGCAGAGCTTTGCACTCCTTCTCCCCGCTCCTTTCAACCCCCCTCTCCGTCCCCGCCCCGCCCCCAGCTCATCCTCCATAACAGGCCCTTTTCCGTCGCTCGTGCCCTCTTCTCCCTTGTCTATACCAATAGCGCATACTTCATCACAAGCCTTTTCCCCTCGTTCATGGCCTCTTCTCTTTCGTCTGTGCCAATCGTTTCACTTCCTGACAGACTTATGGCCGCATTGTTTCTCTCTCTCTCNTCTCTCTCTCTCTCTCTCTCTCTCTCTCTCTCTCTCTCTCTCTCTCTCCCTCCCTCTTACTCCCTCTTACTCCTCATTCTCTCCTCCCCCCGCCAGCAGTCAGTGGCCGGATGCGTGCGAAGTGAAATTTTCTCTATCAAAAGAGGCGCAGAGCCTTTGGGAATGGGTCTGTCTCTTTTGTTGTTCCTCTCTTCAGGGTTTACTTGTAAAAATATGAACCGGATATCTAAAATGAACGGAAAGGGTGAGGAGGCGATCGGCGAGCGAGGTTATCGCGAGAAGATCATGCTGCACAAACATGGAGAACCCAGCTGAAAGGCAAAACAGGTCACCGCTGCATCTCTCTGTTACACAAAGGCCACAGGTCATTACATCGTAGACTCCACTCTCACAGAGTCGAATCTGTTTTGTGATGTTTTCTGTACAGCGGGACACTCCGGAAAACATTGATTGATCAGAATCACCTCCAGCACTCGAACGCCCCAAAACGCCGAGCAGAATCTTAGTTAACGTATTCATTCATTCATTCCAGGCACTAAACGCACATACTCCAGGTGTACCCTTTACCAACCGCCCAGGTGGGAGCCTCAGTTACTTCTTTTTTTTTTTTTTTTTTTTAGGAGCCTCAGTTACTAACAAGTGGGCAGAAAGCAAAACAAAATCCTCTGCGGGCGGGGGCGCGAAAGAAAGGGGGGGGGAGGGAGGCGTGGGGAGCGGAGGTAGAGAAGTAGTGAAACGCTACACAAACAAAAACAAGGCCAAAAATAGGGAAATTAAAGGGTCGAAACGAGGAAAAAAAGCTGTGTACCATGTTCCGCAGGAGCAGAACTCTTGTCGGTGGACCGGCCACTGCAACTCCTGCCCTTGCCTTCCTCTCCGTCGTTCCCGCCGCCGTCAGAATACGTTGCTCGCTTGCATTGACAATCACACCACTGCGTCTGTCTGTCTTCCTCGCTAGCAATGGTGTTGTGATTCCCTGCTCAGCCTTTCCCAGGCCCATTCCCTCTTTCCAACCCATTTTCTGCATGATACGTTGAGCGGCACTCATGCCACCTCCTACAGCAGGAGAACCGTTGCCCGCGCTGCCGAGTATTCCACCAGATCGCCCTGTACGACACACAAAAGTGCCAGGCAAAATAAAAATTACAAAACAATGACACACTTTTCCACAGCTGAGGAAGTCCGGGGCAGGGGGGGGGGAAGGGGGGTTAGTTCCAGGTCCCCTGGACCACTGAGTTCCAACCACTGGAGTTATGCTGAAAGAACGAAGTTATGCTGAAAGAACGAAGTTATGCTGAAAGAACTTAAAGAGCACCCACTCTAACAGTGGGGGCATGTAGTCACAGTAGGACTTTCCTGGATGTATCAAAATGGTATGCCTCCAGACATTGTGTGAATATTAAACCGCCGTTACTCATAAGGAAATATATTCTTTCTCCTTTCGTGAACCGCAGAGACCATGAATACACTCACCAGAAGGCTTGGCAGATTCCCAGGAGAATGTCCTTTTGAACGAAAGGGAGGAGGATGATAGAACGAGAGCGGCGGAAGCGCACGGCAGGAAGGTAGTAAGAACTGGAAGATGCGGAAGAACCACAGACGGAAGAGCAGGACAGATGGATGGATGAAGGGAGGCAGGAGGAAGGAGGAAGGAGGAAGGAGGAAGGAGGAAGGGGGAGGCAGGAAGAAAGTGAAGAAGGGAGAAAGCAAGGAAGGGAGGGACGTCGGGGGGAGAGAGGAGGAAAGCGAAGCAGGGAAAAAGCAAGGAAGAGAGAAGAAGAGAGAAAGGGAGGAAAGACGAGAAGAAGGGAGAGAGAGAGAGAGACGACATGAGGAAAAGAAAGGAACGGAAGGACGGCGAGCGAGAGGAAGAAGGGAAGTGTGAGAGGAGGGAGGGCAGGAGTAACGTGGTTAGGAACGAACGACAGAACGATCGTGGACAGAGGACGTAACCAATCGTTGAGATGATAGGTGCAAGAATCGAGGGAAAGACGGACCCGGCCATCGACGAAGGGAGAAAGGGGGGGGGGAGGGAGAGAAGAGGCAAACACGGAAAAAGCCAGGCACGGAAAAAGGGAGGAAGACCGGACGGGACAAAGAGCAGAGGGAGAGGTTGGTGGCAACAAAAGGAGAAAGGAAGGAGGTCAGAGCGGGCGGAAGGATGGCACCGTGAGAGGAAGCGGCAAAGGAAGCAAGGGAGGGGGGGAAGATAGTAATGGCGACGACAACAGTGCAGGAAGCAAACGAAGCAATCTCATCGCACCCTCCTCCTCTTCCCTCCTCCTCTTCCTACTACTTAACGAACGATCGGGGGATGGAGGTATTTTGGGGGCGGCTTTGCAGTTAACCAGAGAGCGGGAAGACAGTTCAAAATCGAGCGAGCCTACTTTTATCGCATGGTTGTAGATCGGTTAACCATTTTGTGTCGCTTGCTCACCTGGATCATCCCGACCTGGACGAGGCGGGGATCTGGACAAGTCGCCGGGAGCCGACTTTCCAGCGCTAAGCATGGCCCGCCTCCTCCACGCTTCTTCCCCGCTGATGTGAAGCAGAGCGCGCGCCTGCTCGGAGTCACCATCCCTCTCGCTCTCGCGCTCCACCTCCCTTTCTAGGTCTCTCTCCCTCTGACGCTGCAGCAGGGCCTCCCTCTCCCTTTCTCTCTCCTCCTCTTCCTTCTGCCTTCTCTCCATTTCCTTCCTCATCTCCTCTTCCATCTTTCGCCGCCTTCTCTCTCTGCAATACTCGTCGTAATCATTAGGACGAGCTGGGTCGTACTCATCGACCACAGCTGCGCTTACCCCCACAAGCGCGGGAACACTCGGGGGAAGAACAACGTTGACGTCATGATTGCCCAGTGTGTCCGGCCCGCCATAATCCGCGGAGACAATACCACCTGCTCCTCCTGTACGTGAACCAGCCCCTCCCCTGTCATCATCGTCCTCTGCATTTCCGCTCCATCGGCCAGAAGATCCCGTGTCAAGCGCACCCCCCGCGCTAGGAGTCGTACTGCTAATTAGGGTTTTGGGTTTCGCTGAAGGGGCGGCGGCGGCTCCGCCGCCCCCTTGCGCACGGAGAACGGAAGTCGGCGGCGCAAACAGCGATGGTTTTCTCACCGTCGGCGGGGCAAGGATCGTGCTCGACGACCACTTGTTCACCGTTGACCAGCCTGTAGGCGCCGCACCATCGCCGCCTCTCCCACCCCCCGCTTCAGCATTTGATGAGGGGGGTGGAAGATCGCCATACAAACCCCCAAACATTGTGCTCTCTACTCTCCCGTTGTTTCTCCAGCGATCGACTTGGTCGATAGATCGATCGATGACCACAACGACAAGAATAAATCGCTATGCTAAACCCCTACTCGTTTATCAGTTTTCCGCTTCCGACACAAGAGCACATTCCCCCATCTACGACAACACACGACCCCTTCCGCGGTCATCTCGGCTTCTGGCGTACCTAAGGGTCACTCATAATCGCTCGCCGTTGGCCTTTGCTAAGTGCACACGTTACCTGCCGTTCATTGGTGTTCGACATCTTGCGCCGGTCAAACGATCGTCCCATCAACCAGCCAACCAATCACGCCTGCAATCATGCTCCCTCCACGTGGCACGTGATGATTCAGCCTTTGCCCTACCGTGTACTGAGACTCCCTGAACCCACTGCACAGACACTCCGAAGAGCAAATATTGTTGCCCTCGGACAGGGCCAATACCTCTCCGACGATTCCAACGACGCTCAGGGCATACACGGGAACTTTTTTAGGCTTCTCTACGGTAGGCTCCTCTGTGGACGTAATTGAAACCAGGTGCACCAGGGCGGCGTTGGAACACGTAGATTCCGAGTAAGTCCTCGTGTGAGCGTGCCCTCAGGCAGGACCGGGCGATCAGACCAGGCTCTAAGGGCATTCTCCAAGAGGACATTGGGCCGTCTTTCTACCAGTGGAGCGCCCGGTCACTACTGCCGAATCGGACAGGTCCCTCACAAACAGCTACTATAAGGGCCTCACACCACTCTCGAAATGTGAAAAACGACAGACATGTGACGGGCGCATCTGGCCATGTTCTAGCACGAAGTTCATTCTCATTTCGCACATTTTCGAGAGTGGTGTGGCGATGCCCTAACTGAGCGCCACTTTCCTCGATGCTCGCAGCCCGTCAGGGTTGCGTTTTTCTCAGGCAATTTCTTCGTCTTTGGTTATACCGGTCGTTCATTTAGGGAGGGTGCCGCAGTTCAAGCAAACTCAGGACGTGTAGCTGCCAATGGCAGTTTCTGGGAACCCCACATAATGTTCGCAGCCCGTCAGGGTTGCGTTTTCCCCCCCTGAGACATTTCAACGTCATTGAAATTCCAACGTCTGTGGTCGTTCAGGAGGGTGGGCATTTTGAGTTTTCGGGGCTTAGCAAGGGGCAGGGCATGAGAAGGACAAGTTCGCAGCCCGTCAGGGTTGCGTTTTCCCCCCCTAGACATTTCAACGTCAATCAAAATTTCAACGTCCGTGGTCGTCGGGAGGGTGGGCATTTTGAGTTTTTGGGGCCTTGCAAGGGCCAGGACCGCGTAGGACCGGTAGCTGCGCGGAGGAGGCTGAGGAGGCCGCGGTCCTTAAGCCTTTTTCAAAAGTGAAACGGTGGGGGTGCACTTTTCTCGAATACCACAGTTTCCTCGAATAGAAAATGTACAGTTTGTATTCGAATACAGCCTGTACCCTTTCTATTCGGATTTCGAAAAGAAAAAAATCTTGTATTCCGATAAAATTACTTCTT